GGCGAAACAGGACGCGACGCAGGCTCACGATGCTCAGCAAGGCCCCCAGTCTGCTCAGTGTACGGAGAAGGAGCAGGCAGCGGTGAGCCAGGCTGTAACGGAAGACCAGTAGATGAAGGGAGACTGAGAATTTGGCGAAGCGCAGAGTCAGGTGGTGGCTGAGACGACGGAGACAGTGGAGCGAAGAATAGGCGCAGCTGTGCAGTGCCACCAGCACCAGCAGCTCCAGCACCTCCAGCAGCTCCAGTACCCTCAGCAGCTCCAGTACCTCTAGCAGCTCCAGAACCTTCAGCGCCAGCTCCTCCAGGACCAGCTCCACCAGCTGCAGCACCCCCAGAACCGGCACCTCCAGTCCCAGGGTCTCCAGTCTCAGTGCCTCCAGCAGCAGCACCCCCAGACCCAGGGTCTCCAGCAGTAGCGCCCTCAGACATAGCACCTCCAGCCCCAGCAGCTCCAGTACCTCCAGTACGAGCACCTCCAGGACCAGCGACTCCAGCACCTCCAGTAGACAAAGGACCAGCACCACTCCCAGCTCCAGTGACGTCAGCAGAAGTACCTCCAGCAGCAGAGCCCCGAGCTCCAGAAGCGCGACCCTGACGGCGACCGTACCAGTCGTGGAGCTGCTGTGAAGTGAGGGGCACACGCGGACGAAGACGGCTACTCCAAGGAGACCGCGTAACAGCAGTCTCAGAACCCTCAAGCGTCGCACCCCCAGACTCAGCACCCCCAGGCTCCTCACACGCAGGCTCAGCACCCCCAGACGCAGCACCCCCAGGCTCAGGACCTCCAGGCTCCTCACGCGCAGGCTCAGCACCTCCAGGCTCCGCACCCTCAGGCTCCTCACGCCCAGGCTCAGTGCCCCCAAACTCCGCACCCCCAGTCTCAGCACCTCCTGGGTCCTCACGCTCAGGTTCCGCACCCCCAGGCTCAGCACCCCCACGCTCCGCACCCCCAAGCTCCGCACCCCCACACTCCGTACCCCCAGTGACAGCACCACCCCCAGCAGGACCTGAGTCACCAGTGACCTCAAGAGGCGCAGGTACGGGAGGGTCTACCTGAGAGACACCTGAAGGAGCAGGACCTGGCGCGGGGAGGGGGTCTACCTGGGGAGGACCTGGGGCGAGAAAGAGCGGCGGGGGGGGGGCGAGGGGCAGTGCGGTAGGGAAAGAGACAGTAAAAGGGAACTGACTCGTCAAAGGTGACGTCCTGAGACGGAAAGACATGGCGCGAGGCGGGGTCGTAAAACTGCCAGCCAGGCGCGTCAGGACAAAGCCAAGGAAGACGCAGGGAATGGCGCGAGGGGAGAGCTTGTCCGCGGTGGTATCGCGGACAAAGGCACGAGCACCCCAGACCCGGAAACGCGACGCATCACCAACCTTCCCCGTCCACAGCAGTGTGGGCGAGGTCTTCGGCAAGGAGACACGGGGCCAGAGGTTGAGCTGATGCGCGGTGTACCGGACCGCAAACGGCCACAGAAAATGGGGGGCAGCCGCATGGATCATGGAGGTACGAGCGACCTCCATGACTAAGCCAATGCGGCGCTCAGCAACCCCATTCTGCTGCGGAGAGGCCGGAAGCGTGAACGTCTGGTGGATGCCGTGCTCCGCACAGAAGGCTGCCAAGAGGTCTGAGGAGAACTCACCACCTCTGTCAGAGTGCAGACGCAGGACAGGAAAGTCCGACTGGAACCGCTCGCGGAGCTGGAGACGAACAGCGCGGATCCAGGGGATCAAAACATCAGGGACCTCCCCCTTGCGCTGCAAGGGGAAGACCGTGGTGTAACGCGTGTAGTCGTCGACGACCAGCAGGAAGTACCGCTCGTGGCCCTGTCCACGGACGCGGGCTGGGCCCCACACGTCCAGGTGGAGAGTCTGCAGTGGAGCCTCTGTGGGAGGGAACGAGGAGGAGTGAGGAGCGGCACGCTGCCGCCCCTCGACGCAAGGAATGCAGGGCGGCGCAAGCGAGGGAGGGAGGGCAGGCAGAGACCTGGGAAGGCCAGAGACCAGGAAGCGAGAGTGCATGCTACGAAGGCGAGGCAGGGAGGGGTGACCAAGGCGGTGGTGCCACAGGAGAGTGTCGTGCGACAGCCGGCGACACTCACACTGGGTAGCTACCTGAGCAGACGCGTACAGCTGGGGAGACAAAGGGGTGGAGCGCGACGCAGTGGTGAGGGTGTACAGACTGGACCCAGGCGCACGTGTGAACGTGGCCAGGTGACGGCCGGTCCGGGAGCACGTGCAGATCGCCACACGCTGTCCTCAAGGAGTAAAGGTGTCAACCCAGTGATCCTGAAGGACGGCGTTGCTCACCAAGTTCGTAGAGAACGAGGGGAGGTGTAGACCAGACAGCTCACCAGACGGGACCGCCGGACACGGAAGCACAGTGGAAGACCGTGCAAGCACTGGGCCCCCAGAGGGGCCAGCCAGTGAGACAGGAACAGGTGCAGGGAGGGGAGTGACTGTGGTGCTGTCACGAAAGAAACAGCAAGAAGCACCAGAGTCAAGTGTGAAGGTGTGCAAAGCCTGTGCGGACGCAGTACCAGGGGGAGCAGACTCACAAGCACCTAGTGCCACAGGCGCTATACCTGGGGCTATACCGGGGTCAGGCGGCACACACAAGTAGCAGTCACCCTCAGCACTAACAGTCAATGCATACATGGCAGCAAGAATAGCCTCATAGTCAAGATCAAAGATAGGTACATCACGCCTAAGTAGGTCTGCCCAGTTGGGGAACCCAGTAGCATCAGGAAACTTGACGCGCCAGGCGTCGCTAAGCCGAGCGAAGCAGCGGTACCCAGTGTGAAACCCTGTGCACTGGCGACCAGCGCGGGGACCTGTGCGAATGATATAGGGGCAGCGACCAGGACCCCCAGACGCCCCATGCCCGGCATACCAGTCAAGAAGCTGCTGGGAAGTGGGGGTCTGGCGCTGACGCTGCTGCGACTGCTGCTGCTGCTGCCCCTGGCCACCTCTGGTGTCACCCAAGCCCCCACCACCGCTGCCACCACCACTCCCCCCTCCGCCACCACCGCCGCCGCCACTGCCACCGCTCCCGGCACCACCACCGACCCCACCACCACCTCCATCCCCACGACCACCCCCACCACCTCCACCTCCCCCGCCGCCTCCACCACCGCCCCCTCCACTGCCACGTCCGCCACCCCTGCCACCCTTGCCTCCCCTAGAGCCGCTGCGCTTCCCACTAGGAGCGGAAGCAGCTACGACCTTCTCAGCACCAAGGAGGTCGACAGCAGCAGTTGTGGAGGCGTAGGAGGGGGTAAGAGGGGAGGGGGAGCACCCCTCAAAGAGGGGAGAGCGAGGAGTACCACGAGCAGCACCTAAAGCTAGGATGTTCTTCTCTGCTGCTAGGAGGTGCTTCTCGAAGTCGGCGACAGTGAGAGTGGTAGGGTCTAGGGCTAGGAAGTGGTCCCTGACGGAGCTAAGAGTGTCAGGGAGGCGGGTGACGAGGAAATAGAGAGTGAAGTACATCGGGGGGGGGGGGGTTTGCGGCGCAGAACTCGGCTGGAAGGGTGGCACGAAAGCGAGTGTCACTAGTGCGAAGGTGAGAAATGAGGTCCTCAGCAGTGGTAAACGAGGACAGGTCGGGGAACAGGTAGGGTAGCATGAGCCGACCTAGGGCTGCAGTGGCCGGGGAGGACTAGCGCGCAACTACAGCGTAGTACAGTGCCTTAGCAGTTTTGTGCTGGCTGAAATGCGCGCGCTCAGTGATCGGCAGATGGTTCCTAATAGCTAGGCGTGCGGCAGCATCGCGAGTCTGCCACTGTGAGCGTTCGAGAGCGGTAGCATCGTCAGCAGGAGCAACGGCAGTGCCAGACGTGTAATCAAACAGTGAAACGCCGTCTTTGGCATCAGTCAGAAGAAACAGTTGTTGATCGTCTAGCCACGTGGTAAACTCTATCGGGCGACCGTCAGGCTCAAACGCGAGAACATTAAGCGTCGCCATAGTAGCAGTGCAGGCAAGGCAGCGAAGATGGCGCGCGGGGCAAGCAAACTCGCGCAGTAGGGAGGCACGCGCGGCAGGAAAGGCGCTCAAGGCAAGCAGGCGCACTTGGCAGGCAGGCACTCAAGGCAGGCACTCAAGGCAGGCAGCGCTCTTGGCAGGCAGGCACTCAAGGCAGGCAGGCGCTCTTGGCAGGCAGGCGCTTAAGGCAGGCGCTCCAGGCAGGCACTTAAGGCAGGCAGGCGCGCGGCTCACGTGCGCACCACGGGCAGGGCACGCGCGGCTGCGGGTTGCGCGAGGCGACGGGCTGCGCGCGGCTGCGGGCTGCGCGCGGCTGCGGGCTGCGCGCGGCTGCAGGCTGCGTGCGGCGGCGAACTGCGCGCGTCGGCAGGTTGCGCGGGCTCGTCGCGGGCTGCGCGAGCGGTGCGCGGGGCAGCTGCGTGCCGCGCGCGGGCGACGCGGGCTCGGCGCAGGCTGCAGGCGCGGCGCGCGGCGCTGCAGCGGGCTGCGGAGGCGGCTGCAGCAGTAGCGCGCGCTAAAAAAAAGGATACGCGCGCGTGCAGCCAAGGCGCGCGCGGGCAGCAGGCAAGGCAGGCAGGCAGGCAAGGCCGTAGGTGAGGTAACGCGGTATTAGGTGGGCCCTAATCTTAGGTCCTAAAGACCTACTGCTCTAGATACCATCTTAGAAACTAGGCAGGAAGGTGTTGACTATCGAGAGATTTGGTACAAGAAAGAAACCTAAGGGGTTGTACCCCACAGTATCTACCCCACTACAGCCTACCCAAAACTATAACATATGTATATGTTTGACACTCCGCTCACATTGGTGATGCAAAACGTTCTGCCGCACTCTCCCCTCACTCTCCCTGCAAAAGAGGCGCGTGCGATACGATGCAGACTGCAGAGTTCCAACGTATGTGGAGGGCCATTGGCGATTGGATGGCGTCCAATGAAGTGAAGCACGTGCGGTTCGATACAGGCTGAAAGTGTTCCAACATAGGTGGAGGTCCATTTGCCCTTATTCCCCGGGCGAACAACTCCTAGGATTGCCCCCAGATGAGATGAGGCACGTGTGAGTTGATGCAGTTGTTGGGCTGGTGGGAGAAGGGAGGGAGGGGGAGAGCGAGCGGGAGGGTAAGGGGGGGAGGTGGTGGGGGGTGGAGGGAGTAAGAAGAGGAGAAGGGAAAAGCAGGTGTGGCATGTGCGAGTTGATATGGCTGTCCATCTGGTGGGGGGCCAAGGAAGGGAGGGGAATGGAGGCGGAGGGGGGTGGGATGAGAGGGGGAGGTTGAAGGGGAGGGGAGTCGATACACGGAAAATAAGGGTGAGAAGAGGGGAGTACGGACACCTGAAAGGGAAAGCCGACACTGCCTGCTCCCTCACATCCACATGAACACCCACATTTTCTAGGTTACAATGATAGACTCACAAGAACGAATACCAGATGCAGCACATTTTTATCTAACCCTACCACACAATAACCCCCAAGCCCTTTTCTGCTGCAGCAACTGAGAGCAGAGCTGCTTGACACGCACACCACCATGCACACATAATGCACACACACCATGCACATGCACCATGCACACACACCATGCACACAGAATGCACACACACCATGCACACACACCATGCACATGCACCATGCACACACACCATGCACATGCACGCGTCGCCCCCACCCATCCACCCACCCACCCCGCTCACCATGCATGCAATGCAAATCTTGTACTCATATTCCTCCAGAGATGCCCTTGGTGACGCTCGCCGCCTCTGCTGCTCTTCCTGCCTACCAGCACGCTTTTAGCGCCAACCAAAGCCCATCGGAACACGCTGTCACTTGCCGCCATCTCTGGCAGGTCGTGCCACCATGTGCCCACAAACATGCTGTCAGCATCAGCGGGCAGCAGTTGCTTGAGAGAAGGGAGACGGGAGAGCAGGAATGAAGGGCGGGAAAGAGAGATGGGGGGGGGGAGAGGGTGGGGGGGGGGAGGAGGGAGGGAGGGGGGGGAGGAGGGAGGGGGGGGGGGTAGGGAAGCAGGGGGCAAGAGACGCAGGCATAAGCACACAAATACACCATTTGCACGGGGGGGGGAGGAGGGAGGGAGGGGGGGAGGAGGGAGTGGGGGGGTAGGAAAGCAGGGTGCAAGAGACGCAGGCATAAGCACACAAATACACCATTTGCACCAAGGCACATTAGCTGGGTGTGAGAGGAAGAAGGGTGCGGAGGAAGGACGGGGGAGGGAGGGGAACGGATAAGAACACAAAGCAACAACAACATTTTTCTACTCTATACATGGGCTACGACATACATACTACACATAATGAATGGCCACAGTATCTACCTGTAACCAGAAAGGTACCTGTATTGGCAAACGTGAGGCCACCCGAAGGCAACAGTCTATTGCCATTATGAACGTGGATGGAAAAGGCATGCTGACGGGCCCGGGCCGGGGCCCCACTGGCCCGGGTTGGGACGGGACGGGCCGACGAGCCAGCCTCATAGGCGAGCCGGGCTCGGGCCGGCCCAACCCGGGCCGGCTTGCGGGATGGTATAGTCGGCTAGCAAAGCCGATATAAAAGGCCAAGTCGGTCCCGGCCCAGCCTGCCAGCCCTCCCTTCTCGCGCCCACAACCCCCCAACTCGCGCCTGCACTCCCCCCTAATCGTGCCCACAGATACCCCATGCTCCCATCCGCACACCCCCCTACTCGCGCCCACACTCCCTCCTTGCCGCACCCACACACCCCCACCTTGCCCCACCCACAAAATGTGACGCGCGAGGAACGGGTCGCGAGCATCAATGACCAGGCTGACCCGGGAGATAAATTGGCCCGGACCAACCCAGCCCGACGCCAAAACCCCGGACTGCGATTCGGCCCACATCCGGCCTGGAATGCCGTCCCGGCCCGGCCATTCCCAACGCGACACGGGCCGACGGTTCAAGATCTCAAGCCTGGCCTGGGTCACGGCCTGGCCCATGCAGCAATGCTCATGCCTAGGATGTCTCGTTCATATGCAACCCATACAGTGCACGTACAGAGCTGCCCGCTTCACTTCCTGCAAGTCCATGCCACCACCACCTCGGGCGTCTCCGCCACCTCCAGCCATACCCACACCCATATCCACCCCCACCTCTCCCCGTCTGGCTGAAACTTGGGGGCGAGCACAGGTGTGACGCACCTGTAATCCATGGCGTGCTGAAGGGCCGGTTCGGAGGGTGGCGGAGGATCCGGAGTGTAGGAGGGCTGCAGTGCAAGAGGTGGAGGCTCATGCTGTGTATTCCACTCCACTATCGCACCCTGCCAACCTGCTGTAGGGGGGATGATGAGCGGCAGCGGTAGGGGGTGTTTGCGGGAGGGATGAAGCAGGGGAAGACGGAGGGAGAAGCAGCTCAGAGTAAAGGGAGGGAGTCTGGGAGAAGTAGGCGAGGGATGAGGGTGAGAAACAGGAAGAGGGTCTGTCCTTTCCCGCACTGTGTGCCTTGATCTGACCGCTCTTAGACAAATGCGCTGCGCAGATGGTGGGAGACGCCCAAGCGCCGATGATGGCACAAGATGGCATGGCAGAGGAGGAGGGCGGTTGGCGTGTCATGTGCCGCCCTACAGCCCCGCGTCGGTGATCTGCGCGTATGGCGACTTGCGCTGCCCACAAGGTGGTCCCTCTACCTCTTCAAGAGCTGGCTCCTCCTCGCAGCGGCAGGCGCGGGGGAAGGGGTGGAGGAGAGGAGACCGTGGGGAACGTGGGGGGGGGGGGGAAGGGGGGGAAGAGGAGAGAGGAGAGATTGGAAAGGTGTAAGAAAGAGTGTGGGGAAAGGGCGCGTGCGATGACGTCCGGATCCCACTGCCTCCTCAGGGGCTGGCTCCTCCTGGCCCAGGCAGGGTGGGGGGGGGAGAAAGGTGGGGGAAAGGGGTGGAGGAGAAGGGTGGGAGAGGGGGGTGGGAGAGAGGCGTGGGAAAGAAGGGAGGGGAGAGGCGTATGGAAGAGGGATGGGGGAGACGGGTGAGGGAGAGGCGGTAGGGAGTGGTGAGGGAGGAGAGGTGCGGGGAAGCATGGGGAGACTGGTGGGGGGGACGGGTGGGGGAGAGGTTGTTGGGGAAAGTGAGTAGGGAAGAGGGGTGGGGGAGAGGAATGGGGCAGAGAGGGGTGGGGAGAGGGGTGAGAGAGGGGAGTGGGGGAGAGGAATGGGGCAGAGAGGGGTGGGGAGAGGGGTGAGAGAGGGGAGTGGGGAAGAGGGGTGGGGAAGGGAGAGGACTGAGGAAGTGGGGTGGGGGAAAGGGGTGGGAGAGGGGAGTGGGGGAGAGGGTTGGCAAAGACAAAGGGACACCTTACCCATTTTCTTTGTCTTTTTGTTGTTTTGTCTTTCCTTCCAAACTATCGCCTCCTACGACACCCAGCTCCCTTTAACCACCCCATCTCCTCTCCTACATACCTCCCTTATCCCCTCGTTCCCTGCCCCCTCTCACCCCCGGGCGCAGCCAGTTACGCATGTCCGGCGCCAGCTTGCGCACCACCATGCGGTCTGCCGGCATGCGGTCTGCCGGCATGCGGTCTGCCGGCATGCGGTTTGCCAGCATGCGGTCCTCACACGTGGTGGGGTGGGGGGTGGGAGGGGGGGAACACGGAGAGGAACGGTCATCGAGGTTACCGGGCTCGGAGGGGAGGCAAATGGCGGGGGTGCTTCGAGGCGTGTCACAACCAGACCAGCATGTGCAGCAGCATGCCATCTGCTGGCACTCAGTCCAGTCGGCCGTCCCCTCCTCCTCTCACCATGCGGTCCTCCTCTCACTCACCGTGCGGTCCCTCACACACCTCCCCCCCTCCGCCTCCACCTGTCTGTCCCCCTCCTCTTCCCTCGCCCCACCTCTCCGCTCTCCCAGCCCCCACCCCTTCCCCTCCCTATCGCCCCACCTCTCCCCTCGAATCTCCCCCCCCACTTCCCCACGCACCTCGCGAAAGGCATCTGCAATCTCGTCATGGGAGCACCCGCTGTCGCTCTCGATGCCCATCTGCCGCCGCTGCTCCGCTTCGTGTGAGTCCTCGATCATCAGCACCACTCGGATCTGCGCATTGGCGCGAGTCACAGTGGCGCGCGTGGCAGGCGTGCAGAGATTGGCGCGCGAAGGTTGGTGCGCGGCAGGGTAGGGGAGGGGAGGGCGGCAAACGAAACAATGACATAAGGGAGGCGTGCGAGGCGTGCGAACGAATAAGAAGGACAATGACGGCGACCAAGGACAGACAGCAACGGATAACGTCAGGCAAGGACCGGCAATGACAGGCATATATGGAGAGAACGCGCGCTCCTCCTGCACCGTCATTAGACGAAATGTTAGGGCATGGAATACAGACTTGAAAAGTTTCTTGAGACTGCTGGTCGGCTAGTGTACATGCGTGACGGCACCTCCTGCACCGTATGTCGCGACGCTTCTTGAGAAGCTGGATGGTTTGCATGCGAGGAGTGGGGTGTAGTAGCTCGTCTGAGGCGATTCTGTAGTATGTAACAAATTCAATTTACAGCGAAGAAAACGATAACTGCCCTAAGCTCGCGAAAGCGTTTGCGGAAGCAATCACTGACTACCAAAATCTTGCCTCACGACATCGAGCTCGACTCGCATGAGCGACTGCTGCACGGGAGCTTGACTGATAGCGGGGCTTGGCTCACACAAATTTTCCGCGAAAACAATGAAATCTAGCGGCACGAAGAGAGATTGACTCGGATAAAGAATGCAATATCGGCGACTGACATCGCGACTATAAATGGCACAAGAACAGATAGTAACGGCGTGATGGTTGACGGTGGCCAATCACTCTCCATGGAAGGGGTTGTAGTGACGTCACTGGGCGCAGGAGGAAAGAAAGAATGAAACTAGAAGTTCACGGACTAAGCAACTACTAAATCACTTACTAGGGAGCGAAATTTCAAATAGTTCTCTCATTGTGTAAGGCCAGCACGACCTTCAAGCCCGGTTTCTGCAAAAATTGAGCGAGGAAATTCGTTTTGACTGAAAATGAACAGCCTCTGACAGCCATTGTTGCGAACTAAGCTACTTTCTGTTACGGTATTTCGTGCATCTCGCGTAAGTTCTCGTGCTGGGCTCTAGACGTGGTGTCATTCAGTTTGGCTAAGATTGGTAACCATATCAGGTAGAACACCACAGTTACAGTTTCTGGCGAAAGTAGCATTGGAGCTCCTTTCGTTAGGTCAAATCTCAAGCTCCGACAGTTGATAGCGAAAGATCTCGCTGATTCCCAGAGCTGACGATGGGAGAACGGGTATCGCTTAGCACATAGCGCAACCACTCTGTATAATTTATTGATCGTTTCTGAACGCAGAAAACCTGATCAAACCGCACAGCTTGACCTTTTTGTCATCGTCACACTACTGATCCCAGGATGTCCGACTACAACTCCTACCGCTTGCAAAATAAAGCTGAGAAGTAAATTTCTCAGTGACAAGAGCTCCCTACTACGTTTGACCATCTGATCTGATATCACTGTCTCGTCCCTCGCTACCGTTGATTCTTCTGCTATGCTAAAGAAGTTCGTCTTTACCAGATATCATGGCTCGCTCGGACATCCACAGCCTGTCGGACGACCTACTCATCAACATTTTATGGCACTCTAAGCAGCCTACCTCTTTCGATCCCATAAGAAGCAATACTTCAACCGAATTCGTGCTGCCTCGGCCAACGTACACTTCCGAAAACCCGTATGGCGAACAGCTCAATACCTCGGAAGGTTCTTCAGAGCGAAGCTCGCTTAAAACCGGGGTGCACATTCAGCTGAATGTGCATCAAAGGTTATCCCTTGACTGAGTGGGTTACGAGGTGTGCTTTCAACCCCTTCAAGTCGAAATTCGTTTCCCCCCTCCCCCGCAATTTCGTTTCCCCACGCCCCCGCAATTTCATTTCCCCCTCCCCGTCGAAATTCGTTTCCCCCCTCCCCCGCAATTTTGTTTCCCCCCTCCCCCGCAATTTCGTTTCCCCCCCCTCCCGCCAATCTGTTTCATCCCTCCCGCCATTCGGTTTCACCCACTCCCGCCATTTCACCCCCTCCCGCCACCTACGAAATGCCCGAAGCTCTAGCGGAATCATTTTTTTGTCGCCCCTCGTGAGCCAATCACTGTTTTTCTCCAAACCCCCTTCCCAACATCTCAAGCCGAACCGCGTTGAATGTGCACCCTGGTTTTAAACAGAAGAGCCACAATCCGTTGGCATTTCCTCCTGCGCTCACAGACGCGGCCTACAATCTCCTCATCGCATCCGTGTGCTCGCGCTGGCGTCGCCTGGCTCGCCGGCACATCTCCATGCTCGTCGTCAAGGAAAACCGTGCCGTTTCTCTCCATGATCTAACCGCAGCCATCGCGTGCTTTCAGAACCTCTCCCACGTGCATCTGAGCGACAACAGCGTTGAGAGCATCGACGACGCCTTCCTCGCTCACCTCGCGTCGTCATGCCCGACGCTCATATCGCTCCACGTGGGAAAGGGGATTACTCCAATGTGGGCCTGGGATAGGGAGGACGAGCATCCCGTGACCGAGGCCGGCTTGGACCATTTCGTGCGCAGCTGCACTCAACTGCAGCACCTCTCGCTCTACTGCCTGCATCGATACGGGAAGCCACCTGCCTCTCTCTCGCTCCTCACGGACCTGCACACCCTGACTCTAACCCACAGCGCAGCTCTTCAAGCACCAGGATTCACCAACCTGTGTTCTCTCGCCACTCTCTCGGTTGACATCTCGGAGCATGATGAGGAGCTGGATCTCACCACCCTCGTGCACCTCCCGGCCTTCGCCAACCTCTCTCTGTGCAGCGAAACAAAGCTCAATCTCGAAGGCGAGAACGCCCACCCAGTCTCGTTCGCTCGGATGGCTCACCTTGAATCGCTGGAATTCGACTACAACACTCCGCGATTCAGCTTGCTGTTTTCGTCAGGAGTAACGTTTAGTCGTCTCGAGCGGCTTCTTCTCAGCGGTTGCGACAAGCTCGAGCGCCTTCCGGACGACATCGGAGAGCGAATGCCACGCCTTCGAGATTTGACCATCAGCTCATGCCATAATCTACCGGAGCTGCCAGATCACTTCACTTCCCTCCGCTGCCTCCAGAAGCTGACGATTTCCTCGCTCGACCTGGCGAGCCTGCCTGCGAGCTTCGGAAAGCTGTCTGTTTTGAAGGACTTGACGCTGCACCGGCTGCCGATCTTAGGCCTGCCGAACTCCTTCCACCAGCTCACGTCGCTGGAGGTTTTGAATGTGCACGATTGCCTCGCCATGGTGGAGTTGGGGGCGAGCTTCGGCAGCCTCCACGCACTCAAGTCTCTCAGCATCGCCAACTCGCCAAAGCTGGTTCTTCCGGAAGACATCGGAGGGCTCACGGACCTTCACACTTTCTAAGTGACTTTAAATAGCGTACAAGAGCTGCTGCCATCCTCGTTCACTCAGCTGATGTCACTGACACGCCTCGAGCTGAACCAGTGCGACATGATACAGGAGCTTCCAGAAGGGTTGGAGAGGCTGAGTAACTTACGGGAGCTGAGCATCCGGTCACGCTCGACGATTCAGAAGCTTCCAGAGAATATTACAGACCTTGGCAGCCTTGAGGTTCTGCGAGTTGACGGCTGCAGCAGCCTCTGTTCCATTCCTGGGAGTTTGAGCACTCTTGGAAGGCTGAGAGAGTTGGCCATTGGCAAGTGTGCGCAGCTGGCAGAGCTCTCCAACTCCCTGCCACCGTCGCTCGAGGTGCTCAGCTTGGGGAGCGTCCAACAGCTCACCCCTCTTACAGAGCTTCCTGTGCTGCCTAGGCTGAGGCATATGAGCCTAACCAGTGTGGTCCTGCTGCGTGGGCTGGTCGGCACTGTGAGTCTGTCCTCCCTGGAGCACTTGGAGCTGGCGCTGGCAGGCGAGGCTGAGGAGCTGCCACTGTCCCTGGCGCTCTGCCCTAACCTGCGCACTCTCACCATTCACACGGCTGCACGCTTGAAGGCCCTTCCGGATGATTTGGGTTCAGCCGTGCAGCAGCTGAGGCAGCTGCGCGTCGAGCGGGCTGGGGAGTTGAGAGCGCTGCCAGACTCTCTTGCCCACCTGCACTGCCTGACCTCCCTGCAAGTCCATGCACCCAAGCTGCCTTCCCTGCCACACGGCATCGGCGCCTTATCCCGACTGCGCGTGTTGAACCTGGCCCGCTGCTCATCGCTCACATGCCTGCCTGCTTCTCTCACCCGCCTCTCCTGCCTGCATGAGCTCAACCTTGGCTGGACCGCCATACGCTCCCTGCCTTGCCGCTTTGCCCAGCTAAGCCGCCTCAAGACTCTTGACCTGCAAGTATGCGAGCACTTGCAGTCGCTGCCTGATGATTTCACTCAGCTCAAGATGTTGCATAGGCTGAATGTCAGGTGTGCCAAAGTGACTGCTGAGGATGGAGGTGTGAGAGACATGTATGGAGTGATGTTTTGGTAAATCACATAGCTGTATGTTAAGTTTTTACTAGGGTGTCATGCTTTTACTGGAGAATCGACTCTCAAATTCCTGTAAACGGCTACCGCATAGGAAATGACCTTGTCCCAGTATTGTAGGCTATGGCTTCAAACTTAGGTGGCAAATATCATTGTTTCCACATCCATTCACAACAAGCTACTAGGCACGTACAAAGCTGAATACAGCATCTAATTTCATGGTGAACCGACCCTGATACGAAAGCAGACAATTCGGCAAATACTGCTCTTCTGGACCCGCCTGCTCGTGGAGCACTCTTCATGCCTCCCCTTTTAATGCTGCCCCTCCCCTTCACGTTTTCAAACCGAGCTAGGGCTAGCGGCACTCCCCTTCCTCTCCTCCTCCACCCAGACCCCCTCACCCACCGCCACCCCTGCCCTCCTTGGTGCACACATCTCTCGGCGAGGCCTCCACGTCTCAGTAGTGTTCATCTTCCCCATCTTGCCTCGCTTCAGCAGCTTCTTCCGCTCTTTGCTCCTGTTCCTCTCCCGAGCCCCTTCTGTTCTGCTGACCCCCCCCCCCCCCCTCCTCCTCACCCTCCTCATCCACCTCCCTCCCTCCTGCCCTCCCCCCCCACCCCTCCCCCATTTCCCCATTCCCCCGTCACCACCACCTTCCCAACCCTTGATGAGCTCCCTTGTTTCCACAGGTCCCTTCCCGAACCTCGTTGCCCGAGGCGCACAGTTGGCCTTGGAGGCGAGGGAGTGGGGAGGGAGCGTGGGCGCTCATGAGGGCAGAAAGGCGGAGGGGAAGGGGAGAGCGGGAAGGGAAGGCGGAGGGGAAGTGGGACGGGGAGGGGGAGCGAGAAGGGCAGGGGGAGGGGAGGTAGAGTGGGAGGCGGAGGAGGAAAGGGGAGGGAAAGGGAGAGGGGGAGTTGAAGGCGGGGGATAGGGAGGGAGCAAGGAAGGGGGATGGGGAAGGCGGGTGAAGAGAGGTGACGGATGTTTAGTGGATCAAAGGAGAGATGAGATGAGCAGAGATGCTGAAGTGCAGGGGAGGGAGAGGTGGGTGCAAAGGGGAGGAGAGCTCAGCGTGGCATGAGAGGCCGGTGAGATTGGTGAGTGTTACGATATAAAATCAAATGAGAAGGCATTCCTGTATGCTGCAGGAGCCGACTCTACCGAGTACGAAGTCGAGGAATCAGAAGAGGCGAAGCGACGCAGCAACCGTCTGACCAAGATCGATGCAGGCAGAAGCATTTGAAGTGAAAAAAAGCGGGAACAGGTTTGAAACGGGTTCCCGCGCCGCACGGTTTGAATTTCGCTGCAATAAAGGAATGTACCCGTTAGAGTACATGGCTAGTCTAGGTCTTTTCGTATTCCCCTGTATTCTTATATAAACCTGATGTATGCATGCGATTATCAACTCAGTCATTTACATTCACTCTGACTGTCAAAACATATGCATAATTGTATCTAGGCTATATTGGGGCTAGCCTTAGGGGGTACACAAATAGTCTCGACACTCTAGTCTTGTACCCCAATCTTCACCTAATCATCACTTTCTCGTTCCCTAGCTAAGGATTCTAACATGGTATTAAGAGCACAATGCTCCTTAGGACCGATTTTTTAAAAAGGGCCCACCACTACTATTTCGATCTACTGCCCGAGTCGCGCCCCTAGGAGAAATGCGAAATTCGAAACCGTGCTCTAGGCGAGACGGTTCCCTAGACGCGATTTTTTTTTTCCCTCCTAGTCACGTGCGACCCCCCCCTGAACGCGTAGGCCCGTCGCGAAGCCCGTACAGCCCACGTAGGCCCGTCGCGAAGCCCGTACAGCCCGCGTAGGCCCGTCGCGAAGCCTGTACAGCCCGCGTAGACCCGTCGCGAAGCCCGTACAGCCCGCGCCAGGCCGTCGCGCAGCCCGTACAGCCCGCGCCAGGCCGTCGCGCAGCCCGTACAGCTCACGTCAGGCTCGCACCCAGCGCGTAAAGCCCGCGCCAGGCCCGCACGCAGCCCTTACAGCCCGCGACTGGCCCGCACGCGGCCCGTGTTACTGTTACTTACTGCTGCTGCTACTGAAGCTAGTGCTGCTACAACTAGTGCTACTGCTGCCACTGCTACTACGGCACTTGCTACAGCTACTATTGTCTGAAACTACTCCAGCTACAGCTAGTGCTACTGCTGCAGCTCCTACTACTACACTTGCTACAGCTAGTGCTACTGCTGCAGCTCCTACTACTACACTTGCTACAGCTAGTGCTACTGCTGCAGCTCCTACTACTACACTTGCTACAGCTAGTGCTACTGCTGCAGCTCCTACTACTACACTTGCTACAGCTAGTGCTACTGCTGCAGCTCCTACTCCAGCGCTTACTGCAGCTGCTCCTGACTGAAGCTACTGCTGCTACAGCCCCTGAAGCAGCCGCCCCTGGTGCAGCCGCCCCTGGACCCTCAAGCAGCCGCCCCTGGCCCCTGAAGCAGCCGCCCCTGGTGCAGCCGCCCCTAGACCCAGAGCAGCCGCTTTGCACGCCCTCGCGTGCCCCTAGCGTACCGGCCCCGCCCCACTAGCCCGCCCTTGCTGGCCTCGTGCGACCAGGCCCCGCCCTAGCTAGCTCGCCACCTCGTGCCCCGTGCGGACCGCCCCACTCTGCCCTGCACGACCTCACGTGCCCCACCTCGAGTAGCCGCTGCCTAGCCGAGCCGAGCCGCCCCACCGAACCGCGTCACCCGGCCCGAGCCGCGCCGCCCTACCGAGCCGCGCCCCTGATTCTGTCACTGCTACTGTCACTACTGCTGTTTCTGCTACTACTACTGCTACTTCTCCTACTGTCACTATGGCTAGCCCTCCTGTGCTAGCTTTCGATACTGAGGGCCGCCCAGTGAAGTTTGACACCTGGCTCGATGACCTGCACCTATTCCTACAACTCACTGCCAAGGAAGACATCTCACTGTACGATCACGCCTTAGGCCATGCCACTGCCCCTGCTGCTACTGCTGACAGCACTGCCCGCTCATAGTGGCAGACTCGTGACGCCCACGCTCGCTTTGCTATTCGCAACTCCCTGCCGATAGATGAGCGCGAGCACTTTGGCCAGCACAAGACTGCACAGGCACTGTACACCGCTGTCGTTGCCCGCTACTCCTCACCTGCCTCTGCCGCGCTAGGCCGTCTCTCACTCCCCTACCTGTTCCCCGACCTGGCCTCTTTCCACACAGTCGCTGACCTCATCACGCACCTCCCCGCTTCCGTGCCGCTATGCCCGATGAGTTTCTTGCCACGAACCCCCCCCGCTCTGGCTCACTCTCTACCACCTAGTCACCCGCCTCCCTGACACTCTGCGTGCAGTCAGGGATCACTTCCTATCTCGCTGCCCCACTGAGCTCACCATTGCCCTCCTCGAGAAGGAACTACTTGCAGCTGAGGCTAGCATAGTCGCTGTAGGTGCCTCTCGTGGCGACCCCCGCACCCCTTTCTTTGAGGGGTGTTCCCCTTCCCCCCTTCTTCCCTCTGTAGCCTCTGCTTCTGCTGCCGACCTCCTTGGTGCTGAGAAGGTCGGGACTGCGTCCACTTCGAGCTGGCGCCGCAGCGGCAAGGGCAAAGGGGGCAAGGGAGGCGGAGGTGACGGCGGGGGAAGCGGTGGTGGGGGCGGTGGAGGCGGTGGGGGTGGTGGTGGGGCTGGAGCGACTAGTGGCAGCGGTGGGGGTGGTGGCGGCAGCGGCGGGGGAGGTGGCAGGGGCGGGGGCGGTGGTGGGGGCGGCGGTGGTCGTGGCGGCGGCAGGGGAGGGGGTGGTCGAGGAGGTGGCGGCGGCGGTGGTGGTCGTGGAGGCGCTGGCAGTGGCCAGAGCCAGCAGCGCACTCTGTCGCCCCAGGAGCTCCGTGAGTGGTACTCTCAGCACGGAGGGGGGGGTGGCCTTAGCTGCACGTACGTCATCCGCACTGGTGACCGCACTGGTCAGACGTGTGGGAGGGCGCACACCACGCAGCGCTGCTTCTCTCGCCTCGACGACGCTTGGCGTACTCAGTTCCCTGATGCCACTGAGCTGCCCCGCTGGGCTGATCTGATGAAAAAGAACATTGATATCTATGCTCTAGACTTTGATGCTATTCTCACTGCCATGTATGTGATGTCTACTAGTGGAGAGGGTGCTCAGTACCTGCGTGTTCCGCCCGACCCGGGCATTCGGACCAGTGAGGCTACCGCTCTAGGTGCTAGTGAGGCTACTGCTCTAGGTGCTAGTGAGTCTGCGCCCCCTGGTACTGAGTCGACTGAGGCACTACACACCTTCACACTGGACTCAGGTGCTTCTCGCTGTTTCTTTCGTGACCGCACTGCCCTTGAGCCGCTTGCTCGGCCAGTTGCTGTCTCCCTCGCTGACCCCTCTGGGGGTCCGGTCATTGCGACCTCCTCCACTGTCCTTCCTTGTCCTGCGGTCCCGTCGGGCACACTGTCAGGTCTCCACCTCCCCTCGTTCTCTACGAACTTGGTGGCGGGTTGTGCGCTCCAGGACGGGGGTGTTCACCAGTTCACCCCTGCCTACGAGCGCGTGACACACTGCACGTGTGCTCGGACGGGCCGTCACCTGGCTACCTTCACTCGGCAGCCGGGGTCGGACCTGTACACACTGACCACTGAGTCCCCTCAGGTAGCTGCGTCTGCGTCTGCGTCAGGTCAGCTGTCGGCCCCCTGCTCGTGTCGCTCTCTGGCGCACGAGACCGTCCTCTGGCACCACCGACTTGGTCACCCGTCTGTGCAGCGCCTTCGTGCCATGCATAAACGGTACCTTGTCTCTGGTCTTCCCAGGGTTCTCCCTCCCCTCCCACCCTCGCCTGCTCCTCCCTGTCTTCCCTGTGTCGAGGGGCGGCAGCGCGCCGCTCCTCACTCCTCCTCGTTTCCCCCGACGACTGCTCCCTTGCAGACGCTCCACATGGACGTGTGGGGCCCAGCCCGCGTCCGTGGTCAGGGTCAGGAAAGGTACTTCCTGATAGTTGTTGACGACTACTCGCGCTACACCACGGTCTTCC